TGAACAAACGTGTTTACGTTAACAAAAGTTTTAAGCTACGCAATTTCCAAAATGGGCGCCAAACGGAAATTAGTCGATGGTGAAAACTATAGATGTTTCAGTGGCACAGAAAACAAAAACGGTTCTGAATTTACTTCAGATGACAGTGTGAGGGACAGACACTATCCTCCAGGTTTTGTCTGCGTATCTTGTGACCTTATTCATGATTTTCTCAAAATAGATAACGCATCTGACATAGTTCTACCGGAAAGACAGAACTTCCACTCATGTAACTCCATATCTGTCACGAAAATAACCCTAACATAGATAAGAACTCTGTCAAATTTAATGAAGTGAGCTGATTCACGTTTAACAATGAAGACTCAAATTATTAAACTATTCTTTTAGTACAACTTTCTTTCAATAAGGCACTAAACCACAGTATTTTCAATTTCAATTTATTTTACGGAAATGCGTAATTTCTCGATTTTGTTGTCACCAAATCTATAGTCATTGTGGCTCAGGTACCTTATCGCCCCAATACCTTCAATTGAAGAAGCGACGATGTGCACGTCGATGTAGAATAGATTCCGGACAAAAAAATAAAATGCGACTATTTGATGCATAACCCGTTATGTATCGCTATGTATCATGTTTTCCAAGCTTTCTACTGAATCATAAAAAATTGAAGTATAAAAAAGGACATTTTAAATAGTTCTCTAAGCCTTCCACTACATTCTAGAAAATTAAAATTAAATTTTGAATAGCGGACATTTTCAATAATTCAAACCATAAACTTTATTTTGCGACACCCTGTATATACAAAATACATAGAGAGGTTGATAAGGAAGCCGTTTTCGATCGAACACTTTGGGGACCGAAATTGACAATGGTTTTCCTAAACGAGGTACGTAAGCTTGAAAAATGAAGACAAAGAATTTACTGACACCCTCGTACCCGACAAGTTTGGCAAGTATTTTTCCACAATAGCAGAGAGCAAGTTAGCAGAACACTTTAAATGTGACAACCCATCAAGATGTCCATCACAAAATCGTGTAGCATCATCAATGTTCTACGAGGATGTCACCACTGAAGAGATCGTGGAAGTAATCAGCAGCCTTCCAAATAAAAGAAGCAGTGGAAATGATGGAATTTCAACGCGTGTGATAAAGTTTGTGAAACGTGAAATATCTTCCCCCCTATCAGTCCTTATTAATAAATCAGTGAAGCAAGGTAAATTCCCGAAATGCTTGAAACTAGCTATTGTTATTCCCGTATACAAAAAGGGTGACCGTACAGACCTTGAAAACTACAGACCAATATCACTTTTATCGATGATCTCTAAAGTCATTGAAAAATGTCTGTATAAACGTATATTATGTTTTCTCAATCGCTATAATGTCTTATCAGATACCCAGCATGGGTTTAGACCCTCACGATCTATAGAAACGGCGACCTTTGACTTTTTTCCCATATATATAGAGAAGTAGACGAAAACCGATACGTTGCTGGACTATTTTTTGACCTTTCGAAAGCATTCGATATAATGGATATTTCGTTTATCGTGGAAAAATTGTACTGCTTAGGTATAAGGGATTTTATTCTCAGCTGTATCCAGTCTTTCCTCACAGATAGAAAATTAAAAACGAAGGTCAATGGTCATACGTCAACTCAATATTCCGTGAATATAGGTGCGGCACAAGGCTCAGTACTTGCACCACTGCTCTTCATTGTATACATAAATGACTTGAAATTGTCTGGCTTCATGATTAATTATGCGGATGACACATCTATCGTCGTCAGTGCCACGACACCGCAGGATCTTCTCGAATTTATTGAGAAAGTCAAAAGTGAAATGAGCAAGTGGTGCCAGTCTAACCGCCTCATTTTGAATGAAGATAAGACTGTTGAAATTCATTTCTTCAACAAGAAACCACGCATGGATATTGATAGCTTTTCAGATCAAACTGTCTTCTTAGGAACTCATGTTGAAGCTGGCAACCACAAATAAATCACATTTGCAACAAAATGAACAGTGCTTATTTTGCAATATTGAAATTAAAGCCTAACATCCATCTAAACTCACTCTTAGATATGTACTACGCGCTAGTTTATTCTCACCTCACTAACAATATAATCATATGGGGACAGGCAACAATGATTAACAGATTATTCATCCTGCAGAAAAGAGTACTTCGATTAATTTTTAATATTAATAAGAGGGACTCTTGTAAAGAAATATTTAGACGCTATAATCTGCTTACATTAACTTCCATCTATATCTACAAATGTGCCATCTTCGCATTTGAACATAGCAATAGATTTGTTCATAACAACGCCATTAATAGTCAATACAACACTAGAATAGGGCATGATCTGAGTATACCGACACATAACTCTGCCCTATTCCAAAAATCTCCCACTCTAGCGTGCACTAAGGTATACAATAATCTGCCGAGTGAGTTGCGGAGAAGCACTAATATCCTTGCGCTGAAAAAACATCTCAGGAAATATCTGGTTGAAAAATGCTATTACTCTCTACATGAGTTTTACTAACACATGAAAGTATCTGTTTTTTAAATTCTTTTAAGCTGTTAATCATTTCGTTATCAGTGAATTGTCTATTATCGTGGAGTAAATGTATTTTAATTTCACTTTTTATTCGAGTTTTAACGAAAGTATGTATGTTTTCTTTTTAAGCTTTTAACCATTTGTCCTCACTGCTCGATGTTCATTGTGTTTATATATTATGTATTTCTAACAGATTCTCCTCCCGCTTTTCTTTTCTTTGTATCAGCTTCAATGATTATTACCGGCTAGACGAACATTTTTTGTGATAAAAAAAGTCGCTGTATATGTATATATTTTTACCGTTACAGATTACGATTCTGGCACTGTACCTGTACCTATAATGTGATTTAACCTTTTAAAACGTTTTGTAATTGTAATGTCCTTATTTATTTTATAATTATAAGTATTTCTCTGGCATATTTGCTCAAACGCATATATGACCCTCACATTGATATTGACAAGTCTTATATCATGTAACATGATCTAATAGGACAATAAACTATCTATCTATCTATCTAAGTCAATAAATAGTACTATTTATCCACTTTAAAGATCATAAAAAACAATATAATTAGCTCTACTACTCACAGGTCAGAAAATGTCCCGTTATCGAAATAGAATGTATTATATATACATTTCTGGGTAATTTGGTAAGCTACAAGTAGTTGGCGCTATTAGGTTGGATGTGATTTCTAAGGTTATAAGTAGACAAATATGTCAATGATTGTTGATTAGCTGTTCGCGTCAAGAGACGTCGGAACGTCATGTATTCGTTTAAAATAGGTTACCTCTCCATCAAGTCTGTCTTTTCCCATCTACTTTTAACTGTTTGACCTCCAACCATACAACCGCCGCCTAGCGGCAGCAAAATTGAACATGACCTGACATGAATATCTTAGAAATATTATTGTGTTGAGATGGCACCGCTGTACTACTTCTTAGCTCCAGCATATTATTAAAATAGTATTAAATACCCTATGCGGATTTAGGATTTCATCACAAACAGTATTTAAGAATTTCTCTCTATAAGGAAAATCATGTGAAATGGAGAAACTAATTTAAAATGTGATAAGTATCACAGAAAGTTCAGTGGCGTAGGAAATGTGTTTTTTTGTCCGTATGGGTCAAAATATCCTTGATTCTAGGCAATGACTTACCCGAGACTCGGGAAAATGTTTGACTTTAGCTGTCAATGGAAAAGGAAGGAAGGAAAAAGAACAGACCGCCAATCAACAGTTTCTATACTCCACGATTAAGACTCTACTGTTCAACTTTATACCACATTTCTTTCAATTCCACGCATACTATAGGGGAATATTGTAATCGCGAAAATTTTCGAAAACGAGATATGTTTTTTTTGGATATCATATGACAAAATCACGAAAAAGTATGTCACTCATTTCCGTCGGTCTGCCTGTCTGCCTATCGGTCTGTCCGCTAATCTTATAACCGCCTATAACTTGCAAAGTACCGCCCAGATTTCGATGAAATTTTCATGCCAGCGATGTAATAACTTTTCAATTTTTGAAAATTGGTCCAGTGGTGGCAGAGAAAAAAAAATATAACCAAAAAACTAAAATTCGCTCAAATTTCGTTTTTCGACGTTTCAGAGGATCCTGATCGTTTTTAAAAAAAAGTTAGAGATAAAAGACTTGGGGTGGGGGGTTGTAAGGGCGTAGCCAGGCCTTGTCCGAATTTTTTGATGCTGGTACATTTATACGCTCTCAAGATTGGTAATTCGAAGCACCTATTGGATATATTTCATACATCATAAATTTTTCTATGCATCAGCCATGAACACTTAGAAAAATATTATCTGGAGCACCTACCGGCTGCGGCTGCAGCTGGCGTCGTCCGCCGATCGTCACGAGTATTCTGGTATAGAGTCACACGTATTTTTGTCGCGCAACAGCATAATGTTTGCTATGCTCCGACCGCGCTACCACGGTGTCACGTCTGCTAGAGCTAGGTATTGGGTAGAGACGATGCTTCCTGATGCACTACCGGATTGGCCGGGAAAGAATGTCTGTGAACCAATTGTATGGACCTGTTTGACTGACATTTTTCTCAGAGGGTCTAGTTTGTGCTGAACATATTCCTTTATATACTGATAGAAGTTTTGGGTGGTAGACGCAGGGTCAACCTATTTGACGCCATTCTTTGAATAGCCGGATTCTGACATTGGTGAAAAGATTAGGTAGATACGTTGGTGGAGAAGGCTTGTACATTATATCATGAGCTAGTTATTCTATAGATACTATCTCTGTGACGATAATTTTCCCTCACTAGCATCTCCGCCTCTGGATGTAGACGTTGATCTGCAAAATCTTTCTAATTGCTAATTATAACTCTGTGTATTTTATAAATTGAGATTCTAATCGTCCAATCATGATAATGAATTAATCGGAGAATTGTGCCGGGGAAATAAACCGCTTTTAATTAGTTCGCAGGCTCTCAGCCGGTTCTTCCTTTAGCCTTATTATACCTTCTCTACCGATACTTTCCCCTGATGCTGCGTGACATTCCTTATCGGGATATCGCAATTTTACTGCAAGACAGTCCGATGACTTGGGCTAGTCAACCTGCGTTGACAGTCCAATCAACAACGGTAATAATTTCCATCTAAAAATAGATTTAGAAGGATTTTTTTCAGTCATAGGGCTCACGGTTAGTTTCTTTACTTGTCGTAGACTGATTCTGAATCTACTTTTCCGTTTTTAGCGCTAATTCTGACAGCCGATAAGACGCCCAACACTCTTCTACTAGGCAATTCCATCGAAAGATTATGTTCTAGATTAGACTATTTTCAACTAAATTTCAGACAGTACAAGCGCTGATTCGGCACTATACACAAATTTAAACAATATCAGCGGCAGGAGCTCTTACCTAACGACTAATACAAAGGGTACTATAGTCTTAGTCACCGTTATTGCCGGTTACGTCATCAACGCCATCTGAAATAAGTAAACAGATCGAGTCTCCGTACCATGAGCGGAACTGCGCTTCTGTTACTCTCTCCAGTACGCATGAAGTGGGTAACAGGGGGCCGCTACTCTAATAAATTTAGCACGAGCTGTCGGCCTTTCTCCATTGATCGTATTTCCTGGCATTGAACAATTTTATATTGAAGATTGATAACAGGACATCTCGAATTGCACGCCGATCAAGTAAATCGTCACTCTGACAAGCATTATTGGGCATTCATACGTAACTACAAAGTTTTCGAGACGGAGACAGACAACTAAAAAGTGAATGTCTTTGAGCTTACCACACAAACGTTCACACACAGTGGTAGGTAGCATGTGTATATATACGTATTAGAGAGACAGAGATATATAAAGGGATACTGGTAGTCTTACTTTGACCCGCCAAGAACGGTGACCAAAACTATGTAAAAGTTTTGCAATACAGCTTTATTTATCGACTTCGTTTAGTAATTTCTATCACATTTAATACACTTCTCCATCCGCCAAAACCAGAACTTAAACCAGGTCTGCCAAGATTCAGCCGAGAGTGCGGCACACTGGTTGTCCCAAGGCCTCAAAAGTTCCTCATCGATAGAAAACCGTGTTCTTTTTAGCTTCATTTTCACATGCGGAAACAGCGCAAAGGCGCAGGGAGCAAGACCTGGACTGTAAGGAGGGTGCTCGATAAGTTTCAGTCCAGCAGTGGTCAAATACTCAGTGCAGGCTTTGGCGCGGTGAGCTGGAACGTTGACCTGGTGGAGGTACAAAGTGTCCATTCTTGACTTTGGTTGCAGGTTTTTCATAGACTCTTTGATTTTAGGCATACACTATTCCGTGTACTATACCACTTAGCTGCGACTGTCTTCTGTGTGTCCAAAACGACACGCTCCACCATCTCGCTCAGTTTGAAAAAAAAACAGCTATAATTTTTTCCTTAACAGTTCGGGATTTTCATCAAAGACCCAAGCTTTGTTTTGAGCCTTGGTCGGCACATCGTAATAATAGAGCCAAGTCTCGTCACCTGTCATGATGCTGTTCACATACCGAGAATGCCACTTATCAAACACTTTCAGCATCTATCGGCACCAAGTCGTACGAGCCTTCTACTATGCGGTACTCAGAGAGAATAAAGTTTCCTTACGTGTAAATGGTCATGTAATTAAAATTGAATGAATTGCTGGTGCATGAAGGTGTAACGTCTCCTCTATCTGTTGACAGGTCACTCTCTGGTTTTCATCAAGCATTTTCCTCACAGCAGCAATGTCTTCCTCTGTTACTGACGTTCGCGGCCTTCCTTCTCTGTACCACCTGAATATATTCGTAGGATGAGGACAATCATTCTTCGATGCAAGCGTCATTTCTTCTAAGCACTGGTCTATGCTTAAACCACGCGTAAAGTTATTCCGTGAAACTGCCCTTACCTCACTACGTGACCACGATGCCATAGTCCGCACTTAACACTGTCAATACGAATGCACTGTCTCAACATGCAGTAACATGCAACCTCCTGCATCCGTTTGCTAAGTCATATTGCAAAACTTTTATAGTAACCTTTGTGCAATTGTTAATATTGAGCTGTAACACAGCACAAACAACTTTCTGGCGATAAAAGGATCATGGTCTATAGTATATGCAAGGTTTCCGCCCCTGAAAGTAGCTAACATATGATTGCCTCTATATAAATGCTTTAAAATAAGCTGTATCTGAAATGATCTTCGGGGTCTTATGGGGGAGAGTTTGAACTTAATTTAGATTACTTGAAATATAATAGTTCATGACTTACAAGAAAATGGTTCTATGGTTTTTCAGAATATAAATCACTTATAAGTCGAAAACGATCAACTTTAGAGGAAGGTTACCGATTAACTTTTTTGTTGATAACACCTAAAAAGGCCTTTGACAACTTCTTGAACCATTGAAAGGAACACAAAAAATGTGACTACCGAAAAAAATAAGTTGAAAAATTTCTCCAGCATGAAGAAATTTATGAGAGGCTAAGCAAGCAGTTTCCAATATTTTTCAACTGACTCAATAAAAGCACTGTAATTTTTATTTTTTTTTTTATTAAAATACAATAGATCCATCAATAGATCCATTCTATTTTATTTATAGATTCGTCCGAACTTTTTTCAACTCTGATACCTTACTATTTTTGATAGCTTTGCTTCCTACTTTATTCAAACTGCAGGAGCTCTTTGCTGGGGGAGTTTTGGTTCCTTAATGGCTCATCTTCTGAAGAAGTATTCTCAATACCGGTTTTAATAATATCATGTTCAATTACTGGACGACGAGGAAGTGGTTCGAAAATAAGTATCTCTGAAACACTGCCACGTCTTTTGTCTTTTTTTCGAAACTTGTATAGGCATATGTTTTTGTGGTTAAATCGAAATGCCATTTTTACGGTGGTGCACTTGTAATTTCAGAGTGACGTTTATTGATATGAGTAACAAAATATTATTTCATCATATTTACAAGTACTTGTAACTTGTGCTTTACTAGTACTGCTATCGAAAAGTACCCTGGTGGTACTTTGATGCGAGAAGAACGGATTTTAGTCGAATATAAAGTTAATCTGCTTTACATGGACACGAATACTTCATGAAGTTCCTAACTGGTAACATCCTTCCGTTTAACACGATTAGTGCGTTAGTGGAGTGCATACAAGTCTGGCTGTCAACGAGGCTGTATGCGGCTCGTAGCATCTACGTCGCAGTCCCTCGTCCTGCTTTTGACAAAATCCATTAAGCTGCAACTCCCATTTTACCGCTTTCTTGGTTATACTCGTTCAGCTAATTAATAAACGTCACAGGAACATCATTTACCTTGACTAACCCACACGCGTTCACATACTCGCACGAGACGCTCCTCTGCAGCTCTGACAAAGACATAAACCAGTGGCGGCACATTTACAATAAATTGGAAGCATTCCGTATAAAAATATATTAAGCTTTTTCATTCTACATCTACTTATATTTTAGATCTTGTACATCATATTATAGACTACCGTCCAAAAGTTTGGGAGCACATCTGTTTTTGGCCAAAAGGAAACATTACCTACTATATGCGGTAAAAGTTTGTAATAAATGTTATCTTCATGGCTTTTTACTATTGTCTAAACAACACCAACAGGATCGTGTGCTCTCCTGAAACATGTTTTTACAAATTCCTAGATGTTGAAAAAGCACGTGTTTTATGACTTAATCCGTCGGTTGCTTTTCTTGTACTGTGACGTCTTGCTATCGATAGTATTTATTGATTTTAACTTGTCTGGGTCCTATTTAGTCGCATTTGAATTTTGGCACTCGCATGTTTTTTTTATATACTCCAACTACCACGAAGGCCTAAGGCCTAAACACCCATTGGATACCGTGGGGCTATAGGGGGATACAGGGGAAAGGGGGAACGCCACACGAACTCTGGTGAGGGAACACGTGTGCATGCAACATGCACACATTCTGGCTACGCGTACGAGATCCGCCGGGTGGTACCTCCACGTTCGACAGTCACAGACCGTCTACCACCTACGGACAATCACAACATCCATAGCCAAGAGAAAAATTTCTCCTGGGACGGGAGTCGAACTCGCACAGCGCACGGCGACTGATCAGGAGACCGAAGAGTCTACAACTACGGCCACCGCTGCTGCAAGTTGAGACAATAACATTATCAGTTTTCGAAAATCGTTGACTACGGTTTTTCTCATAATTTTTCTTCGGAAATTGGCAAAACGCAAGCAAATGACGCTTGGACAGTGAAGTGCTATTTGTGTTCTTCGTGAGGAAGGATACAGTGAACGTCAAATCGCAGCTAGCCAGCTATGCTCTGAATTTCTTGTACACCCTTGCTGCTTCTAAACTTTTGGACAGTAGTGTGCGTAGGCTGACGGTTATTTGTAGATAGAGGCCTTATCGTTCCTACAGTGATGAAGTTGCGTAGGCAAAAACCTAAATACGGGACACCGTGCCTGATATAGGTTACCTAAAAACATCTTAAAAATCCGATTTTTGAACTGCTTGAGTTTAGCAGAACTGCGAAGAGCCTCGCTAGGTATTCCGAAATAGAGCTCTAGGAGCAAAGCCCGTTGACATAGGAGTAGAAGAGACGCAGATCGCCGACCGCCGGTAGGTGCGCAAGTGTCTCGAGACTGTCCATTAGAGAAGTGTCACTGAATTGAGTTGAATTGAAATGATATTTATGTACCAAAATAACAAAGTGGTAAATAAATATAGAACAACATCCACAGTGGGCCTGTCTGTTGATGATACTTAACCTACTTAAAATATATAATTTTATTTTACCTCTAGATAGTACAGATATCGCATAATACTGAAAATTTAGATAGCATACATTTCTGTCGTACAATAATGTAACACCAATCATTAAATAATTCATATAGATAAGCAGACATATACACTAAACTGGGGTAATTTTAGATATTCCAATATCAACGTATTCAGTTTTCGGTATAATTTTGTGTAATTATTCGCTCAAAAGGCCAACATAAATCCAACCCTTCAATTTCTATTTTTTATCAGTCGGACCGCCCTCCTTCGAAAAGCATCGCATCAAATGCAGTGGGGGCGGCACCTCCCAAAACATGTGAGCAGTACTTGAAGCAGCTATTGCGATTGTGTCAAATCAAATTCTCTGTGATCTGGACTCCGACCTTCTGAAATACGTAGTTCTTTGGCAGAACTAGGCCATCCATCAAAACCGGATAATTGCTAGAGCACTTCTTGTTAGTCAAGGCATAGTACTGTGTTTAGTAAGAAGTAGACTGTACCAGATTAGTGCATCCGCAAGCAGTGATAACTTCAAGATCTCTCGTCAGAGAGGAAGTCGTTACTAGTTTTCTTCCCTCCAGCTTATCTGCAAAGTTGTGGATACGGTTAATCGTTGCGTGGCGTAAGCTAGGAGGTTCCCCGTGGATCGTTGGTACTGGAACGCGTTCTGCGTGTCGCTAACCAAGCCGGGATTGTCAAGGTACTGCAGAAGCTCCCCATTTATGCACCTCTTCATCGGTCTCAGATCATTTTTTGAGACAAGCAGGATATGAGCTTTCTGGATTCGTAGGACAGAAACGCAAAGAACTCAGTACAATAGTAGAAATCAAGTCATTCAACATTCAACAAATTCTCCAAAATCCAACATATGATCGCGTTATCTAATGCCCTAACTTTCTTGCTAGTAGCGTTCCATTGAAAACTTTGATGTGATGATTCTGCAAGCATATTTCGGTTAAACAAATTATTTTGGAGATAATAATAATAATAAACCGTCTTTTATTAGAAAAAACATATTACAAATAATGCATATATTATTATCATAATTAGATTAGTGAGCAGCCTAATGGCGAAGTTTAGCTATGGCAGCTATTCTTACACTTACACTTAACTGCATAAGAATAATAGATGGTAAAAAAGTACAGCTGTAAAGAAAATAAAAGGAGGAAAATGCCCATGTAACTGATTACAACCTAAATAAAAATTAGCTTAAAAATATAATGCTGGAGAAAAACACCTTTATGAATCACCATTGAGCAGAAGAGCTCTTAAGTGTTTTTCAAAACTATACAGCGGCAAGCTTTTTGTTCTGTAATCTAAGCTATTTTAGAACATGCATGCATTATATGAGAAGGACCTGTTAAAAACAGATGAACTGTGAAGTGGCATTGTTAAAGCGAATGTGTTACGGATATGTCGTTGAGGAACATTATACCTAAAAATTAGTTTCAGAGACAAGTAACTTATGTATAAAGGTTAGGTAGTTGTATTTAACTAAATCTGTCATCTTTAACCAACCTATTAAAGGATAACGATCCGAAACATGATCAAATTTTCTTAAACTACATATGAATCGTACGCATTTATTTTGTACTACAGATATTCTGTTATGACTTGCAACATCCAAACAAGGATGATAAACTAGATTGCGATAATTAAAAATAGATAACACAAAAGATTCACACAACTTTTTTCGCACTTTAAAATTCAGCAAATTTTTGTTCGAATACAGAGTTCTCAGACGGATATAACTTCTTTGTAAGAGGTTATTTAAATGTTCACGAAGCCGCACGTTTTCATCAATAAACCCACCTAGATACTTGACACTTTCAGAAAAAGGAAGATTTTGATTGTTAATAGATATAGTCAAGGAAGCTTTGACTTCGGCTCTTCTGTTATTTGGACAAAACAGCACAGCAGAAGATTTAGAAGCATTAACAGTTAGGCTGTTATTGGCTGAGTAGGTGCAAATAGAGTCAATGTCCTCGTTAATTTCCATAGTAGCAGTCTGGAGGTTCTCAGGATAAAAGAAGTAGAGCAGTTGAGCGTCATCCGCATAAGACTGTAGCTGAGAATTTTGAATGGACTTAGCAATATCGGCTACATAAATTAAAAATAACAAGGGTCCTAAAATTGAGCCCTGAGGCATGCCCGAAGTGATAAAATGCTGATTTGCCAAAACTCCAGAAAGTGATACGCGCTGAGAACGGTGGGTTAGGTATGATTTAAAAAACTGCAGTGCTATTTTATCAAAACCATAAAATTTTAGCTTAGCACACATCAGTGCGTGATCAATTCTATCACAGGGCCCTGATGATGTTGTCCACTAAATTAAGAAGAGCAGTTGTAGTACTGTATGATTTTCTAAACCCAGACTGATGTACTGGCAGTACGTCACTTTACTCTAAAAAATCTTTGACAAAACACTCAAAAGACTGATGGGCCTAAGATCCGAGAAATCAGTGGGCTTCCTGACCTTAGGTATTGGCCTTACTATTGCTCGTCTCCAAGATTTAGGAAAGTAGCCCTTCTCAAGACACAGATTGATAATATAGGTCAAGTAAGGTAGTATAATAGGGAGAGATAGCTTAATCATAAAAAGAGATATACCGTCAATACCGTTTGCATTTGACTTAAGGCCACTCACAACAGTTTTGATAGTAGTAGGCTCAACCAGAGTGAAGGAAAATCTCCGATTGCCAAACGTGTTATTGTGATAAAAATTGAGTGATGCTTCGTCGTTTATAGCGCTTGGATCATTGAGGTGAGGCGGAATACTTTCAGTTCTTGTCTTTGAATTAAAGCCACCGATATTTATGTTACCTATAGCTCTCCAAAGTTCTTTCCACATATGATGCTCTTGCAAGAAAGATAGGTAACCCGCTTTTTCACGCCTAATTGACGCAAGAGCAAAATTACGTTTTTCTTTGTAGCTTAACCAGCTCGATACTGTTTTATCGGATTTATATTTTCTAAGTGCAACATCACGTTCTTTCAGAATAATTTTTAACGGAAAGGTCAACCAAAGGGCCTGATGTTTATTGACTCTCACCGTTGTGAGCGGCGCGTGGATATCAAAAACGTTAAGAATGTTCCTTGTAAGGAAATCAACTTTTTCATCGATGTCATTCAATCATATCAGGTCGTGCCAAACAATTATTGAGCTCAAATCACTACAAAATCCGTTTTCATCAAAGTTTTTAAAATCTCGAAAAGAGATGAAAGCTTGCTTAGTTTTTTTGACAGCAATTTCCAGCGAGCAACAAGTCGGTGATCGAAAATTTCTCCAGCATCCAAAACCATTGTGCCTGTAAAAAGATACGGGTGGGTTCTTTAACCATTTGGCAAAAACCATAACACGAAAAGCATTTATTAAGATTATTGTCGGAATTAGATAAATTAGAGTTTATGTCACCTAATATTAAAACGTTATCATACTGACAGATGCACAAAGGCAGGACGGAGTCCCACACATTAGCAAAATCGCCAAAGGACTTAGATGGGGGTCTGTAACTGACACCAATGCAAAATTTTTCTTTATGAAGAATAACTTCTAGCCAGATGTTTTCCATAACTGTGCTGGTATCAATACCAAGGTCAAGAAGTCTCAGCTGATACATAAATTTAATATCAATGCCAACGCCACCTCCTCGGCCTTCTCTATCTCTGCGATAAAAGTTATACTCTGGAACTTTAACAATTTCAGTAGGTATATTGCTAGTCAATCATGTTTCGGTCACCGCGAAAAAGTCGTACTCTTGTTCAGTTAATATATCCACAAAGTCAGAAAAACTAGACAGGATAGAACGAACGTTAAGGTGATGTTTGTATTGCAAAAGTTGAGCAATGTCGCAGTACTGCATAGCTACATATTCCATTTGAGCATTCTATCACACAACTGAATGGCTGCTTTAAAAACAGTTGAGTAAGACAGGAGGTTATTATAATAATATTCAGTAGGAAGCAATTTTGTGATTTATTACTTTGAAATCTCGATGTCTCAACCCGAAAAATTCGATGTCTGAACGTTCCATAAAAATGATGCAAAATTAGTAACATCAAGAAGGTGAAACTAATTTCGATGTTTTTCAACATTTACAAAATTCCTACATGTTTACATATCGCCCTAGACAAATCACCATGGAGGTAGGTACTTGGCACGTATGACTGATGATAGTTGTCACATTCCTTGGAAACACTTTCGAAACGAGACTGTGTCCAAGAACACGCCCATAATGTCCACGTAACAAAAGGCGTGGTCACAGACAAATAGACGTTCGTCAAAAGAAACAAATGCATTAGAAAGAGAGAGATACACATTTCTGTGTCTGGACAATTCAATTAATTATGTGGACAGTTCGCCAGGCTACTAAAGGCAAAACAAAATATTTGGCAAGACATTGCCTACCTGTGTGCACGAAGTACATATTCAAATTGCCAGACATTTTGCTGGCACGTCTGTCAGGATGCTTTGGGGCGCAGTCAGTGAGGTGAAGTTATTATATCAATCAAGTTTTTTGGCTTGAGTGGTGCAAGATAATAACGTGTCAAATATGAAGCTATGGTGAGAATCATTCCAAAAGTAATGTCTCCTACTTTTATATCCTATGCCACTGAGCGAGGTGCTATAGAAATCGCGAACAATTTGTAAAATATACATATCGGCAAAACATCACACTCATTTCCGTCGGTCTGTATCTGTGAGTATCGGTCTGTCTGTCTCTCCGTTAATCCTTCGACCGCTTGAGGATTTGATTGAAATTGCTCTAACTCCGTTTTTCAACGTTTAAGGGGCTCCTCACCATTTTCAGAAAAAAATTTGTAGTGGTTGAAATTCAAGGGATGGAGGTTGAAGAGGGTGAAGAAGGCTATATGATTTTTTTATGTTAGCATATTTATACGCTCCCAGTCCCTTCAAATCTATGCACCTATCAGCCATATTCCATACATTATGTACCCTGTACATTTGCGCTTAAAACATAAGTGGTAGAGAAAACTCTTCGATTCTCGCACTCCTGCGTGCCGGTCCGGGTAAATAATCTTTCCGTACTGGGGCAAGGAAAGAACGTATATGGACTCTTTTGTACATGTTCGAAACTGACTTTTTTCTCAAACGATTCAAATTAAGGTGAACTGCGCTTCATATGGAGTGACGCAATTTTTTAAAGATAACCCAATAAATGTGCTTTTCCAACTCGGGGAAAAGTTGGTAATAACTATAGAGCACTGAAAAAATTCAATCGCCCAATTCAGAACCGAAAAAAAGAAATATTGATCAATGTGTAATCATTACCTAGCCAGCGACAACAGCTTATTCCCTCAAATGAAATAAAGTTTGACAAGGCGATTCACTGATGATCAAATGAAAAATGAGATTCTAATAGACCCTGTTAATTATGAGTAGTTCACCAATTGCATTTCTTCCAGGCTGATCATGATCTATTTTATTCACTTTCCGTCTCGGCGACTATAGCCAATCCTATACTACATAGTTATTTCTAGATCTCTAGCAATATTTAGGACAGTATAGGTCTAGACCAGTGTTTAAGGTTTATAGTGATCTACTAAATATTGATAATAAATGGTCTTGGTAGGACAGGTGACCTTACTTCTGCGATCACTCTGTTATTACATATTTTTTCTTTTGATGCAGTGGTTCATACGTACTCGAAAAATTTAATTAGTGTCACTTGTGCGTAGCGAAAAAGGCAACAAATTATTAAAACGTAAACATGAGAAAATATAGAAAAATCCGATGAAGGTGGTAGAGCGGTGGCATCAAATATCTATAAAAACTATAACTACTGGTTTGCTCGCGCATTCTTATACATCTATTTTCAGAGCCATTTTCCATATGCAGAAAAACTGAATAAGTAAAAAATATTTCCAGGAGCCGCAAGTAGTTCAAAAATTCCCAAACAGCTTCTGCCTAAAGAAATTTATAGAAAAATAGGAGCAGCGAATAGGTTTCAAAAAAGTCTAAACCAATTGAAACACGAGGGTATCACTCAGAATGTAAATCTTTATAATTTGTTTACTTTCTTTAATACGGTAACACCTAATTCTAATATTGTTGACAGAGTCCCAATTAACAAACGTGCCTACCTGGGTCATAGCTGAACTCGGTGACTTCGCTTTTTCTTGACCTGTTCTGCTGTTGCTAATAAATTTCCTCTGGCAACACTGAGATACCTCTCAGGAGGCGCCAAAAATAACCTTCCAGGTGACGGGCGAATGTCGGCTTTTTTACGATTATTACCGGGAGATATTTTTAAAACAAAGGCATTAACGGGGACTGTAAAGTGTTAGCGGTCGAAATATTTTGTTTCGGAATCGGCTTCGGGCGTGCTAAGCTAAGATCGTAACGCAGTTTCACTATTACCTTGTAAAATGGAAACATGCAACAAAGAAGGCAGTTAGTGTTGTTTATCTGTTTACGTTTGACGGTTTCGATGTCTTTGTAGGTGCTTGAAAGGTTAAGATAGCTGTTGTCCTGACAGTTCTGGGATATCGGCGTATATTTTTAGGAAGCTTTTATGACCATTGTTCCTGAGGTTGCGGTAACATTACAAACGAAATGATATGGGAATCGATGACTAACAGGGAAACAGTTTGCATTACGGTTCATCTAACACAAGTTGCTCATGAGGATGTCCGTTCCATTCATATCGTTTTAGAGCTTTTGAACGCGTCAGGTATAGATATTAGAGCTAGAGTTAACTTCATAAGAATGTGTGGCGACATGATGTTTGTTGTAAGGTGCTTCTAAACAAACAAGGAGTTGTTATGGCTTGAAATTCCTAGCAAAACAGTGCAGCAATGAATTTTAATAACATTGTACTATGCCACTATCACCACACCTGTTACGGTATTCTTAATTGATGGAGTATTTCACTAACGAAAGAGTTCTCCTGCTGCAAACATATGCCATTATAATTAACACTAAGCTTGATTAAAGCCAATCCTGAGAATATTTTAGAACACTAAAGATAATGACTGTTATACGTATTCATATTTATGAGTTGGCTGTGTTTGTTCTTAAATTAAAAATAAGCGTGAGTTTGAAGTCATCGAACACCATGATGCTACTTGACCAAAAATACTCTTAATCCCGCCGAGACATCGAACTACGGCATACCAAAAAAACATGTAGATACTCGTATAAGGGATGGGATGTAAGATTTTCTATAAGCCTAATGATTATGTATGAGTCAAATAGAGCCGTTTTCATAAGAAAACTAAAACACTGTTTGATATACAAATGTCTGTACAGCTTGGAGTAGTTTTTTGCCTAGATATATTGTTTTTACATGTTTAATCCATTAACACTGTTTTGTACGTTTTTTTTTTACTTTCCTCGCCTACTTGAGGGGAAGTATTCTAATCGCAAAGATCTTCGAAAATGATGTATTGTGTTTTTTGTATGTTATAATTATGACATCACGAAAAGCCGTGACACTCATTTCGATGAAATTTTTACACAATGTTAGTACTATGCCAAGAAAGCAAAAACTGTTAGTTTTTGAAATTCGGAGAAAAAGAGGCCAAAAACAAAAAAGTAAAAGCTTTTTTTGACGTTTCAGATGAGCCTCACCATTTTTGGTGCAGGGGGTGGAGAGGGTATATCCCAATTTTCGATGCATCAAACTCCAGTAATTCTATGCACATTTCACTCATCATAGATGTTCCCGTACATTTACCCTACAAAAATATCTCCTACAGACTAGTGTCGGTGCTATGTGGTGCTAGGGATGGACAAGCGTCGTCGTCAGCAGTCATACATCACAGTCGGCAATCGCTTCCGCACTACTGTGATGCAGTGGGCTGGGCTGTGTGCACTATGCATGACCAATATCGTCATTGATACGCCTGTAGCAATTTCTCTCAGGTGGAGGAGGAAGCCAATTTAATTTTTGTTATACATGTCTGTAGCTAACTTTTTTCTCGGAAGGGCTAACTTGTGCTAAACATAATCCTTTACGAACTGATGACAGCGTATAGTGGGAAGTACAGAGTCAACTTACTTGACGTCATTTTTTATTTGCTATATAATTTCCTGTTCTATTCAACAATGAAATAAATTATTATCATTAATATCTGCTTCTTCCAATATTTGGCTTTCTGAAAGTCCTCATGCAAGACTCTGGTAATATATTCTTGGCGTTTCTCGCATCTTTCCGTTGAGGAGAGAGAACGTTGTTAACCGTACAACATTCGTTACGTTCTTGTTGATGTTTATCGACTTACACAATCGTCTAAATTAGACACGAGTTCGTCATGGCAATATTTACTTTTGGTTATCTTTACAAGGTACAACGTCTTTATAAAGTTTCAGTTTGTCAGTTGCGACGTAGAGTTTCTCCAGTGACGTACGTAGGCGCTTTGTATTACACTCCATGTGACTCTCGGTATTCTCATACTCCCATACAGCCATGTAAGCGTTGAAAGAATTGGAGAGTGTACATTTTGACGTTTCCATAAAAACTCACCTAAGCGAAATAAACGTTTAGTATGCTATATTAGATTTACCGCTTATTGAAATTAAGGCATGATCCATGACACTTATGGATCCTTGCATGCTAACTCAGAGAGTTTCACAGTTTTCGATGATTTTTCATTTTACACATGTAAAAATCAGGAGCCAAAACGTTACTAGAAATAATGTCTACAATTTAATTTTCGAAGTAATGTTAGAAGGTGTTAATGATTGATAAATCAACCACCAGGTGCTGAATACCGTGTTAACCTCAAGATAACCAATTAAAGTAAGAATTCGCATCAAAAAAGGGGTTGAAGATCCTAGGCCACTTATGAGTTAGTAACAGAACCAAACAAGCTAACTCTTTAGTAGATTTATAAATTCTCTGTTGTGTTCTGCTACTGTCTCATAGATAGCGCTAGGATCCTCTAAATCCCTTTTTGGGTGCCGGAATAATTATATGAATGACTACCTTCAGGCAAAATACGTTAGTCAGTGATGGCTAGACCAAATGCTATACGATGGTGCTGTTCCTAGGAAAGAGGCTATCTGGACAAACTTGTTATAGTTATCTCATTACCATCCATCTCCATGTGACCTGACACCCATGACAAGCTTACACTATCAAAATTCACCAATATCGTACGGTGCTGTGCGAGTTCCAAACTGTGTTCCAGAATTAGGAATGATCAGGTTTCAGAAAAAAATGTAAATTACAAATTAAGTTGTAGAATCCAACAAGTGGTGATAAGATTAATGAAAAAACGTGTTCATTTTATACCTCTAGAATGAGGGTTGCTAGCTACGACGATGTTTGCAATCCTACATGAAAGGGAATTTAATTATTACGGTTATCTTTGCAGAACAAGGTAGACGATGAGAATAAAGTAAGTGCCTTGGTCGTGATGTATAATCCGGGAATAATTCACGGGGAGATACCTTCCTCTTCATTTAGATTCCTCTTTCGGCTTTGTTGCCCGGATTTATACAATTGTTTACATTACGAGTTAATTTGGAATTTAAATTTCTAATTTATCAGATGCTCTTATACGTTTGCTTGCTCATTTCTTCCGCAGTTGCCTAATCCTCGGTGGGATGTTGTTTACTCGATCCTCTTGTCTCTAAAATATTAAGTGTATACACAGGACCTATAGAAGCGAACTAGTCAATACAATTCGTTTTCCGTCACTAGTCATAGATAGTGGCAATACGGCTCTTGAAATTTTCATTAACTTAAGCAAGGCAATTGATCTCGTTGACTATGAGTTGCTGCTGTAGAAACTTGAGGCATATAGTGGTAGAGGCCGCCCATTTTGGTGTTATAGAAGCTACTTTCTGAACAGGACACTTTGTATAGAAATCAGGGGCTGTAAGTAAACCTTCTAGACGTGGTTGCAAAGAGGGTGTGCCTCAGGATTCTATTCTGGGGCCAGTCTTATACATAAGTTCTGTAAACGATTTCTCTAGCAAGAAATATGTAATGCATGCTGATGATACAATGTTGTACAGCTATAAATCAAATGGAACTGTCCCGTGCTTACAACGGAACTGAAACAAGTACATCAATGGTAATTAGATAATGGGTTGTTGCTGCCGATAATAAATCTTGTTTTTTGCGGTTTTTACCCGTAGTGACTGATCATATGCTGTTATGTATACCTATTTATGTAGATAACGACTGTAAAAAGCTAGCACCCATGTCAAACTGTATCAGTCGTAGTTGATCAGTTAGGTATAACTACTTCGTCTATAAACTACCGTATCTTATGGTATATTGACCTAGGGTGCATGCCGAAACGCCTATAGAATTTCTGTAATGCGGAAGGGAATTTTGTGGACTATTGCAGAAGTTGAGTAGATATTGCAGCGATAATTTTGTAAACCTTGGAGTAATGATATTGGATTGTATTTACATATATGAATTATTAGTTTATGTCAAATTTACTAAACCTTAATTTCGCATCTTGAATGATCGCAGTATTTCAAACTCAAACTTATTTCAGGTACCTGCTCATAGGCTGTTTGCAACAGAGTCTTGCTCTATATATATATTGCGGTGAAATGCTACAACAAGCTTCCTGCAAATTTTGGATACCTCCACGATAATGCATATAAACATACATTACAAAGATTCCTACTTAATAAAGCTTACTATAGTGTTGATTAATACCTCGCTAACAATTAAATTTATGTAAGCTAATTTGTGTCCTACTTATTTGTAAGTTATGATGCTTTGTTTTGTTGCGATTCATTTTTCATACTCTTATCTGCCTAGTTAAATTGTGTATGTAATCATATACGTTGTGTCTTGAAGTATATATTTTTCTTGACATATTCTGTTTCATCTTTTGATGATCCTGGATTTTTTTTTATTTTAACTATCATACAAAAAATATTCATAAAGCATGTGATGATGTAAAAATAGATAAATGAATAACTTGTATGATTTTTTCGTGTTTTATCTGTTGGAGTACTATTTTCCTCGAGGGGAGATTTGGTATATCGATATTGTCAAATGATATTCACGCTTTTGAGCCTTATTTTTCGTATATGCAGGCGCATGTGCAAAGATACAAGGATGCAAAGTAAACTCGAATGTATTGTGAAAAATATTAAAAAAGCCTCTGAAATTCCCTGTTTGATAATCCTTTTGAGGGGTAAAGAATTTTGGGTGAGGATTTGTAGAGGATGGAAAGAGTATACTTCAATTTTCTGGCATTAGTACACTTGATTCTAACCTTCTAACCCCAATAAACGATTTCAATACCCTCGTCGGGTGCAACGAATATGGAAGATAAACCTATCACGAGGTGGACACTGGCAATGTACATACCTGTATACTTATCACAACGTTGTCGGGTGGTCAAAATTTCTGAATCGGCACATTGCCAAATGAATGGGGATTGTGGACTAATTGTATGGGCTTTTTCAACTGATCTATTCGATCTCTTGGTTATAATGTTCGCAGTTAAGCTTTCTCTCAGAGAGGTTTATTTGTTCTAATTATGATCATTTACGAACTGATGGCAGCAATGCGCTAGAAATGCAAAGCTAACCTACCTGACGGCATTTTTCCTTGTAGAAGATCTTATGTAACGAAGCGAACATTCAAAAAGAGTAAGTCAAAATTTACAAGGCTGAAAACCGTTGTAAACCTTCCAGGCAACCACCCCTCTGACCACCAAATGAGTGCACCGCCGCTGCTTCTCTTTTCCTGTTTTATTCAAAACACACGGTTCCAGAACAAATACTCCGCTGTACACGCACCTACACCATGTAAATAAAGTCGTTGCTTCAATCTACATCTTAATTGGTTGTCATGTTTATTGCAAGCGGAGTTTGGAGTTTAGAGTCTCTGAGTTGAGTCGAGGGGAACGAGACTTTATAGGATTTTTATGATGGAATATGGCATTCGGACGGAAAGAAAAAAATGAAAAAGCGCTGCGCGAATATGGAGGAGATTATATCGGTGGTGATGTAGGAACAGGGTATACATAGGTGAGGTGGATGATGTTCATTTTAGATTAAGATATGAATATGTTGGATGAAGCTGGATAATATGTAATCTTTGAAAAGCTATCTTTTACGAGGGATATCTTTTAAGTTTTGCATATAGAAACATAGTAGGCCGCGCGGATCGAACGTCAGTACTGAATCTTAACCTCACTCTTTAGTAAACTTAAATTCAAAGTTTCACAACAATACGTGCAGTGTTCTCACTACAGTGTTTTCGGCAACGAAGCGCCACATCAGTCGCGAATTTCGCGTCGGTATGGAGAATTCAAACGTCAACGGGTTAGTCTTAGCGACGATCCCAGGGTGGGTGCACCAAAATCGGCAGTCACCCGGGAAAACGTCGATGCTGTGCGCAAACTCATCATTGAAGATAGACATGTGACATATTGCGAGATTGAGGCATCCTTGAAGATCTCAAAGACCTCAATTCAAAAAATTTTACGTGACGAATTAGGAGTTAGAAAACTGGTTTCTCGTTGGATACCCCACCTGTTGACTGAAGAGCAGAAAGCAGCCAGGGTTAATTGGTGTCAGAAAAAGCTTGACAGTTTCAATTCCGGAAACTCAAAAAATGTGTACAGCATTGTTAGTGGTGATGAATCGTGGATTTACTGTTATGAACCAGAAAATAAATGACAGTCGGCTGTTTGGGTGTTCCAAGGTGAAGAAAAGCCTACAAAAGTCATCCGTTATCGAAGTGTTTCGGAAAAGATGGTGGCGGCATTTGTGTCAAAAGCGGGTCATATTGCAACAATTCCTCTTAATGGCAAAGAACTGCAGATTGGTATAACACCATTTGTTTGCCAAAAGTCATCACAGGGCTTCGAAAAAGCAATCCCGAAAGAAGAATCATCCGCCGCCAAGACAATGCAAGCTCGCACACAGCCCAAATAACAAGGCAGTATTTAACGGAAGAAAACGTGGAATTATTGGACTATCATCCATATAGTCCCCATCTAAGTCCTAACGATTTCTTTACTTTCCCCAAAAGTTAAAAACAGACTGCGTGGTCAAAGGTTCCAGTCACCAGAAGAAGCAGTTGACACATTCAAGAATGTCGTTTTGGATCTGCCAGCAAACGAGTGGAATAAGTGCTTCGAAAATTGGTTCGAGTGCATGCAGATGTGTATTAATCTTCGTGGAGAATACTTCAAAAAACAATATAGTCATTTAAAACCACCTACCGTGTTGTTTTATTTCCATATGCAAAACTTAAAAGACATCCCTCGATGTATAAAGGATCTCACTCAGGTACAGTATCTTGATTAGGGGAAGGGGTCTACAGTCTGTCAGAAACGGGCATTGAGAAAAATGATTCAGTTTCGATTTTCGAAATTATAGGTGTATCTGGCAGATTAATTTGGTTAATGTCATAGTAATTTTGATATCATACTTACGACAGCAAAATGATATCGAAAAAAAGTTTCCAGGTTCAGTTAGAATCAGTTCTAACGATTTATGATTTGAAAATATACATGTTTTTCGGATTTATCTAATCGACGAAATATTTATATTTTCAATTTCCCTCTAGAGACACAGTGTAGCCCCACAAACCAAGTAACCGAAAAGGTCTCTCCATTCAGTTGTTGTAAGTGCCAGCTCTTTGGTCACGCGTCAATACAAGACAAAAGAGAACAAAAGGCAGAAATGCTTCAAATGTGGGGAAATTTGGTAGGCGTAAAAAATTTCGTGTTAGGGGTTGTAGATGGTGGAAGGGAGGATATATCTCAATTTTTTTAGGTTGGTACATTTATTTTACTCGATGATTCTAAGTACCTTTCAGACATATTTCACTCATTTATCCTCAAAACTTAGAAATGTCTCCAGAAGTCGCATGTCGGGACGTGTGACGCTGCTCGACTGCTGTGCATCTTTTGTGTACGTAGAACCTCAATGTCGTCACCCACAAGTGATTAGTCATAGCAACGATCATGTGCGCCTGCAGTAATTTTTCTCAGGGGAAGATAACTTTGAAGAAGCAGACCTGCCTCCAAAACTTTTTGAAGAGAGGGATAGAGTTTTCTGAATATATGAATAGTCAAATATGAGCTCCGTGATCTGATGTTTTGTTTTACGAGTATAATTAGAAACTCTAGTAATTCTGTAGTGATTTACTAAAAATCGGTGTGAATGGAAGCGAAACCAATTCTTTAAATTTAAATGAGTTTTTATGTCATTCTGTACATTCTGAACAATGACGGTACTCTCTCAGGGGGATAAATACTAAAAAGCCCAAGCATGCTAAATATGAAACTTTTAACTATATGAGCCTGTATGAGTGACTTGATCCATATATTTTTTTTGATGTATGTTTGTATCGAACTTTTTCCTCAGGACGGTTCACTTGACCCAAACATAACCATTTATGAACTGATGACAGCATTTCATGGAAGGTACAGAGGTAACCTACTTGACGCCATGTTTTATACTTGAGCCACACACACCCTAAGGCGCCGACTTATAGTTTTGCATGTAGTCAATGTGCTTTGAAGAAGATCACAATGGTTGCTGAAATGTCAGTGAAAAGCAATTTATGCCTATGTGGTTTCATTTGGTCAAAAATTATGAGTTCTGTCGGTTCTAAGACACTGAAACGTAACTATTTTTGTTTATAAGCTTCAGTCGTCATTGTGGTAAAAAACAAATTTAATCTTTCTACAAAACATATCCACATAGTTATTAGCGATCAGAATGAGAAATTTAGTCAACAAAGCCCCAGTTCACCACTCGTGCAATAAAATCCGGCCCAATGGAAACAATTCCAGTCTGTTTCGAGGCATGTATGCACCTCTATTTCGAGCCAGACAGACACACACAGGCACATCAATCTTTTCCCATGTGTTCAGGTCGGAAAATAGGTTGGGAGTGCGACCCAGGTGTTTGATCAATCTGCCGGTAAAACACTTTGTGATTGCTTCTACGGTGTCGCTTTGTGTTTCAGCGGCGTCCATTCAGATTCGTGCAACCGTACGCTGTTAGTTGCGTCGTTGCCTGTAGATAAGGCGAAAACCGCGCATTTGTCGAAAGAACTTTCCTACACCGTTTTATTTCCATCATAATGTTCAGTGGATATCTCTTAATATGAATCAAGCGGTTATCTGGCGGTAACTCGGTGCAATTTTTTCAGTACGGAACAAGTTTTTTTGAGTATTTGACACATGGACAACGTACGTAGCGTCAGGAGTAGGTATGCCGCGCTACTATTTTGATACGAATTCTTAACTTTCCCTCGTTATGCTTCAAGAATCATCAAGCTGTCAAAACAACGTAAGAGATCATACTGTAGGTAACACATTTTGTTCGCTACAAAAAAGATACGCTCAGGTTGTTAGTTTAGCCTTTATACACTATCATTACATGTACCTTTAGCCTTAAATTTCTCGAGAGATATTCTTATAGAAGCAAAATGATAAAGAATTTAATTCCCCACAAATTTGTTTTATTGATTAACTTTTATATAGGATCGATGGTTTTCGAGATTTTAGATCAAACGCGTTTATGATTTGCCGTTATTATGAACTTATCTCATTAGGAAGCATTAATCTAACAATACCACCAAAAATATTACTGTTGCAATTAATATAGTAAAAATCTACTTGTTTTTTGGCAACATTGCGTAATGATGAAAATTTGGGTAGGCATATTCAGACACTACAAGGCATTCGATTTAATAATGAGTTTAGCGCTTGTGCTGCCATCTTTCGGATAATATACTTTTTCAATGGCGGTATTATAGCCGTTAAGGAGTAACCGGTGAAATATGAATCCAAGGCTGATTTTCTTTATCAAATTCAATCGCCGGTACCCCCCCCCCCTGGCTAACCCTAAAATATGTAGCACTGTTTTTAAAAATATTTCATGTGATTTACATAATGACGATATACTGTCAAAAACGTGATTAGATGAACGTCATGTCAGAAGCGATGTTTATAGAAAAATTCTAGTATCCAACTTTGCACGATGGTTAAAAATCTCCACTACCTAAGCGTCTATGAGCGAGATTACATATGGCCGCACTCAGAATTCCTGCAACTCCCTGCCAGGTACTTGAGGTACAAGGGCCTTGGTAAATCTACATGCAGGTGCGGAGGTTTCCCTTCAGCTGAAACAGAGGAACGAATGTTGCGAGGGACTGACAAGCATACGGAATGGAGTAGGATCGGACCGATGGGACCACTCTTAGACCCTGGAATTGTTCATTAAGCAAGACCATCGTTGCCAAAGAAGACATCTAGATACTCCAGTTAAATCTACATAATGCAATAAGGTGGTTTCAAATCGTAAGTCAATTTAATTGCACTAGGTCGTGATCTGCATATATAAAAGATAAAAGACTTTGCAGTCTTTTTTGTCTCTCCTTGATTTTTGTAGTTTGCTCCAATTCAATCATAGAGACATGTTTTTAGTTTGCTAAGGTTATAAGGGCTACTCGGATATTTGTATTTACACATAGATAGTATCTTTATGGTTTCCGTTAGCGATAAGAATTCTTCCACACCCCGGCAATTTCTTCTTGAAATACAGTCTCGTTGCACAGACCCTACGCTTTTACTAGGCCTAGGTAAGTCTGTAGCCAGACGTGTTGCGACGTGGAGCTTAAAGGCATGGGTTCGAATCCCGTCCTCGGAAGTTACATTTCAAGCAACGGATGTTGTATGTACGCACTAAGTCGGTGAAAGATCAAATATGCGCAAAGTATCGCTGGAACTGGTGGATTCAATAAATGATCATTTACAAGTAGATAAGAATGTGGAGTAGTACAGTCTTGATCGATAAAAAGTGCCATAGGTGGCGTACTTGCTAGAATTAGATTGCCCCCCAATACAACTGGACCTAGCTCTGATCCCGAAAGTATCTACTACTGTAGTTGAGTTTTTCCTTGTAACATGTCTGGTAGATCAAAATTGTCTGAGTGCTCCAGATCCACTACCAGATAAAGGTATCACGTAAGGTGTGGATGTTTAATGCTCAATCACGCCAAATGGCTCAACAGATATGGACGAAATCTTGTGTATTATATTATAGTCTGGAATAACATACATATACCCTACTTTTTATCCCATGAAATAACTTTGAAATATTTATTTCACGGGCTAGGGGTATGTAAATAAGGCATTTCCATCATGCTTTCACTGCATTTCGACATTTGTTTTTTTTAGTGTGATCATCTTTATTTAGGTTTGTTTGGTATACTTCAAGTATAATACTGTGAATAAATAGTTATTGGGTTAGGATATGTTAAGATATACCACACAGGCTGTGAGGTACCACACGTATTATTTATTGTGATACTGATATTTAATTGCTGTCTTCAAATATTGACAAAAATGTCTATTGCCGAAGTAACTATTGCATTACTTTGAATATTGCATTTTTCCAAAACCAATCTCCTTCATACTAACGTAAAACGAATGACCTACGTGAGCGGAGTATCACAGTCTTAAGACAGTTTTCTGATATTATTCACAATGTTGGTAGAATGATCCCTAGAGTTTGGATATTCTGTAGTAATCATCTTGTTTCGTAAATAGACACATTTACTGGCAAGCTGCGGAAAGCATTTCAGTAAGATATGTGTTCGTCTTCTGGGAACGATTTAACTGGAAATCGGGGAGCGAGAACAGGTGGAAGTCGTAAGCGTTATGGTTTCAGCTAAAATTCTTTACGACTAAAATTCACTTACACATTTCTATCTTCGCGAGATTGAGTTGTTGGGTACACTAATATAAGTTGCGACCTGTAAGTCACACACTGTGCTTTTTAAAAATCCCCACCAACCTATATTTTGAACTGGTCAAATTTGGTAGCTGAAATTTAGCGATGAGAAGTAATCGAGGCATGAATATTATATTTTAACAATTCAAGACGGCCACTGGGCGCCATTTTGGAAAACTTGGAACTTGATGATGGTGGAAATAGAATTCGTGAGGCCAGAAACACAAAGTTTGTATGACGACCCCGCTGGTGATAGTTGAAGAGTGGGATGAGGCGGGGGAGGCAGGGATGATTTTGGGAACATAAATTAATCTTGTCAACTCTGGGAGCCCCAAAAACCGAGTTCCGGGGCCCACGCACGATACGTCGAGTGTGTGATCTTAGATCCGCCTCTTGATCGTTGGTCGCTGTGTCTGAAGCGATTCATCATACAAAATTGCTCAGTTATGGCCTCCTATCAGTCCGTCATTGTTAAAGTTAATGATTTTATATTATAATGATATAAAGTACTCAGATGGAGCTTAAAAACAGGATACCACATGATATTCATTCCATAAAAGATTGTTTCAAGATGGTGATCATTTTCCAATTGCACTCTTACACTTAATTGAATATACTATTGTTTGCCTTTGGCAATTCGTTTCATAAATTTGTCCTAATCATACGATATTTCATAACCTTCACGGAAGGCATGTTTGCGATAGCCATCTGACCAAAGAATCTTGACGGCATTAAATCCGAGATAAGATTCCAAAAAAAAATGTTTTGAAGAATTTCTCTAAAGCTATCTATCAACTATCAAAATAAATATTTAATTGAGACTTTTATTGTTACAGGTATGCCTACGACGCTGGTTTATCAGAAAAATTAGTAAGTACGCGTTGATTTTATTGAAAATCCAAAATAGTTACAAATACACTGGCTTACCGTTGAATAATAAAATAGCTAGAAATGAATTTACTTTACAAAATATGTCCAGGAATGCAAGCCCAAGCATGGTTATAATACTCTTTTTGTGGCAATATCACTTTTGAGCGATATCGACAAGAACTCTAATTATTGAAAAAAATCATAAAACATGTTCCAAGCAACCTCGCGTAATCCTTCTATGATCTGCATAAAAACTTCTTTTCTGAGTGAATCGAGTGCGTAAATTCTGAATACGAAGCTAATTTGATACTTGAACTCATAGGGGATCCTCTGCGAAGCATTTTTTATCCTAAGTTCTCGGTCATATTTGAATTCAGCCAAAGTGTACAAAGTTCATTCACTGGTTTCTTGGTTTACTCGATTGAAAGCTTCCCCAGGACTTCCCAGGTGAAACTACCAAACGGTTGGTATATTTGGAAAACCTAGTTCGTTTTTGTCCTTGAACTTTTTCTGAGTGTGGTGAGCTACAGGTGAACTCACCGAGGTACACAAAAAATATAGAAAGGAAAACCAATTTCGTTAATGTATTCAATTTCTACCTATAATAATAAAAAGTTGCTGCTGTGTACGCCGCGAAGCAGTTTGCAGGAAGAATTATTACAGCCTGGCAGGCAGGAGGAGCGCAGGTTATTGTTGTTGCTGCGCCTGTTTTTAATAAGGTAGATTGATTCGGGAACGTTAGGTGTGTGGATGCGCCATGTTGATATCAGTTTATCATACAACCCCAGTTCTTACGTTCCCGCTGAAAGAGCGGTAACGCGGTATATGGAGCGAGTTTTATGTCAGACATGAAAGCAGATCAGAAAGTTTACAGTGTTGACTTGTACTGTTAGCAATATGTTAGAATCAGCAACTGAAAGGCATTTTTTGTCGGAATAAAGTTAGATCCAAGCACATTGAAAAATGAAAGGTTTTCCAACAGAAAGTGATAGAAACTGTAGTAAGTTCACACAGTAAGGAAAATGCATAGTGTTATCTGGAGACTACAGAGTGTTGTATGACTTTCTGGCACAAAAATGTAACTTTCAATAGGCGGCATTCGACAGAGCTAAAATAGGGGGCAGAAGCCTGGAGAGTTTGTTTTGGATGCTTAATGCGTGGCTGCAGTTTAAGCTCCATGGAACAAATGCCGCTGGCACTTGTTTAAACTAAAACCATATTTATGTATCCGCTGCACGCGTCTAAATACAAAAAAAGTGCTTGGTTTGTAGTGGCGTACCTCGTAACCAAGCTATATGATCTAACATGCAAAACCTTTATGTTAAGGAACAAGAAGTGCTGTTTCTGACAGATAGCAGCGATATGCCCTGAAGCCACACGTTTCGGGTTTTCAGAGCCCAGATTACCAAACAGCTGACTTAGGACGAACACGGCTTGCCAGTCGTTGCGGCTGAGTGGAAGAGAATTTATCGAGATTAGATCCTTAGGAGATGGACTTCCTGGCAGAGAGAAGCTAACTTCACGAACCGTTAAGGTTGATAACGGTGATAGTCGAAGCCAAAATGTAATTAAGTACCTGTGTGTGGCTCGATAAAGATCTGAAAATGACTGACCACATAAGGCGTACGACTGATCCTTGTCAGTTTACCTTTGAAAAAAATCGTTGCATATTTGATACGAATGTCATCTGTTGGAGACCCTTGTTATGATCGGCGTAAAATTTTGGTAGGGGTGGCCAACTCGATTATGATGCATGGATCCCCTATCTATACTAAGGCCTTGAGTAGAAAGAAGTGGTTTGCGCTTACAGAACGGTCTCGACCGATGCACCGGTGGTGGCTAGTATGCGCACTATATACAAAGGGCGCCGAAGCTAGAAGCGATGCCGGGAGAAATGGGATGCATCTAGCCATGGTGCATGGACTAGAAGGCTGATTCCAGATACTAAAGCTTGGATTAACAAGGCAGTGGAACCGATAGACCTTTATATTGCGCAGCTCCTCACATGACATGGTTGTTGAACTGCGTATATTGCAATGGAAAAGGATAATCCTAATCATCTAGTCAAATGTGGCAGATTGATTGACTACCAGAAACAGCTGGAACTGATGCTTTGCGAGACAATTTTGCTAGACATGTAAGCGGGGGCAAATGGGTTGATTTTTAACCAACATTAAGATGACTGCGAACGACTGAGGGATTTCGATGATGATACCGCATCTCTGTAGAATCTCACACTTCGGCCAGTTGAGGCCGGTAGGGCAATACGTTAGAGCTTTTTTGTCTGAGAGTGCCCAAGAAAAGATGATGCGGTGGCGAAGAAGAATCATATAATCGTAGTTAGTCACGGCCCCGAGCCGGCCTGGTGTACTGCTCACGTGTCTGTGGCGCTGTCGCACAGATTACACAGTGGATACTATCCAGAGGACGTTTGCTTGACTTGTCCGGCATCATTTCCTTAAAGGACAACCTAAGTCTTGGTCTCATACCTATGGGCTATTGGTGCTCGGACTTCCTTACAGCAGTATGCTAGCGTACCTTCCACGCTTCATCAAAAGCTGGTCAGTATTCTGTATTATGTATAGCTGGGAGAGCAACCAGCCAAGAGCACAGCATTTAGTCCCTATTAGGCCCCCCATACATCCTGGATATCATCAACAACCCCAAGTTATTGTAACGGATGGTGATTCGACCCAAAGGGTTTCCCTTGAACCAGCCATAAGAGGGCTACGTTGCCCCAAAATAAATTCTTAGACTGGTAGGGGCAGTCGCAAAGCAAGCGCTTGACCGTCTAATCGTTCTGTTCAAATCCTCAATACTAGGATGTTTCACTTGATCTTATGATATACAGATGTTTTATTAGCTGTCAGTGTCCAGTCGTAATGACAGTTTCAAACCGAAATTGGACATTATACAGGTAGTATTTTGCTGCTTCCTGACTAGGATATCTGAGAAAAAGCATCCCCACATATCAATCCTCATGTTCTTGATTATTTTTTGGGTGTACTCTTTTAGCATATTTGCCATGTCTCTGATAGGTAAGATGCAAAAGGCTCTGGGCCCAGAACTCTGATTTCCGCAGTCCTTTTTTCTTTTTACCAGTTCACGATCTGTAATGGTCCTGTTCAAAGACAAACGTAGCCCTACTTTCGCGATCACTTTGAGAGCTTTTCAAAAGCGATCTAACCGCTGAACGGTATTTTGATAGGCGTCACTGGGATTTTCAGTTGTCAGAATTGGGATCTAAAATTTACTCGTTTGTCATAGTTTCGGTCTTTCCTCCCATCTTCGTCTGTTTGTTCATCAATTTTGAAATTTTCTATCATACTTTTCTATACTTATTAGCTTTATTTTAACAAGACATCTACACAGCTTTCAAACTGGACAAATCATACACAAAACATGGAACCCCATTAAACAGGATTAGATGTATCACTTGATCAAGAGCGAGATCATATTTGGGCTGTGTTGAAAAAAAATTGTGGCCGCTCTGTAGCGTTTAGAGTGATCATGTGCTTTCAGCAAAAAATAAAGTATCGCTACAGCAGCGCTACGTTGTGATGAACGACAACAGTTATATTATTACTGGTGGAGACACTCAAAAGTGCCAAATGACAGTCTAGTAATATTTGGCGTGTATAATCCCTGCTTCAATCCTAGTGTGTCGATCGATTGAGGGAAAATCTGCATGAGAGGATTTCTCCCAGGTCTATTCAACCTTAGATACTACTAATACTAGGTCAGGCAAACGCCAATCTCCTTATAGTAGTCGGGATTTCTCGGTATTCAGATTTGCTTCAGTATAATTTTTTATTATTACCTATCAGCGCGTCAAAAATCCAGGAATTTTAACGAGCCGTGGGTGTTAGTGACAAAACAAAAATCTATTCTGAAAATTCGCTTGCTAAGTGGCGGTATGCTTATTAGGCAGCCTGGTTGGCATCCGGACAAATGGGATAGAACAATGCGCGCGATATATCAAGCTGTCCGTACGTGCTTCGTTTGTCTTTTTTTCTCCCGATTCAGGTCGTCACCGTGCGCAATTATTTATAAGACGTAACGGGCTCCTTGGCTCCTTGGCTTACGGACAGAAAAAGAAGCCATCGTGAGAGGTGAAGCATAAATATCCTAGGAGGTAATGGTGTGAGTCTTCAATGAACCTACGTTCTATTATAATCTTGAGAAATTTGATGTCAGAGTGAATAATCAAACAGCATTCGACGACGACGGGAACTGATTTTCAGAAACGTAAAAGCATCTTCGTCCTGTGACAAAGTAAAAGCTGTACTTCCTAGTTATAGAAGGGATATTGGATACGCAACGTAGACCAAAAAAAATGTTTTATCTTAATTTCGAATTTTTTCACAAATACAATACTTCTTCAACTGGTTGGAAAATAAAAGAGAATGATGAGAGAAATGAACAGATATATCTATTTTTGAGCCATGGACGTAATCCTGTGCTTTCTTGTATGCTGCTTTTGTTGGGATGAAAAAGTTTTGCAACTTTTGAAAATCGGCCCAGGAGCGGCGGAGTTACGGAACAAGGAAAAAAATAGAAATCGCTCAAGCTTCATCTTTTGACGTTTCAGAGGTTACTGCTCATTTTCAGAGAAGATTTTGTAGCAGTTAATAACTGGGGGTTGGTGGTTGTTGGGGTTGGGTACAAAACCATGCAACACTGATTGAATGACATGCTCTAGATTTGTTCACGGTTCGACAAAGTATCAGACTACAAAGTAGGGGTTTGCTTGATAATACTCACTTTTTTCTTCATTTTTGACGTTCTTTCTCCAACACTTTTCTGTGGACTGTTCAACATTGCGAGATGGACGGTACTATCGGTAGTGCGAAAGTAATGTCTAAAGACTGAGTGTATGGGCCTGACTTGATCCACTTAATTTCTCCGTTACATAGGTTCGCAAGTAACTTTTTTTCTCAGCGGGTCTAGCTTGTGCTGAACATAAATCTCTATGAACCGATGACGCTGTTGCGTGGGAA